ACTTTATCATATCAATTATAAAGTTATCGAGATACAATATGTTTTAACACGATATATTTATAAACTTATTGATATATATTTTGTTATCGTGTTAAACCAATAGATAATCATTTAACTTATCACAATACTATATTATTTATCAGGTAATAAAATAGTTATCTACACAAATCACAAATGTTTTACAATATCCTACGATGAACAGTATCATCAACTTCGAAATGAACAGTGTCATCGACGTCTAAGTGAACAGTATCGATGAGAAACTGAAATAATTAATAAAAAAAATTTTAATTCAATGGCACTTTTGTAGTAAATCAACAGAAAAAGGATATTTTTGGTTTGTAGTTTCTTTATCTTTCATAATTACTTAATTTTGAAATTATCATGTTCTGTAATCTAATTTTTTGGTCGACCGTGTATAAATATTTAATTCACCCTAAAAAATACTCGTACGTGGGGTTGAGGTCAGCGAGAGTCGAGACTCATCATGGGAGAATAATAAGAGTCCACGCGGCGAATCCATCACTACAAGAACACTAACAACTTTCGATTAAAATAATAATTTTACATACACAGAACCAAATAACTTATTGCGCTATTATAACATTATTATTCATTCGTGACTTTATACTTTTGTTTAGAGAAAATGGCAAGCTGGTTGTCTTAGCTGTCCTTGATTCCCTCTGTCTCTTTCCAATGTTCTTTTGTTTTTGGCCAAAGAAAAAAAGATCAATAAATCACTAAATCTACAATATATTTTTTATGATCCGCAATTTCTTACATTTTTTTGTAACTTGATTGTCGAAATTTGAGAGGAACAAAAGTTATAAGGTAATGTAAATGCATAAAACTTGGAATTATTCAATCAGGGTAATAAAGTAATAATCCTTATAATCTTTACCAAAAAATAATAATCTTAACAGCAAGAACAAAGCATAAAATGATAAAATCTGACACCACACCTTGTTATGTTTCTTGTTCTTGAGCAGTAATTAACCACAATCTCAAAAACTGAAGGAAATTAACTTTCTTGCATGTCCAATGAATGAGGGCTCTTCTTCTTCAATCTTCAACTTCGGCTTATTTGGTATACTAACAGGCCTTATTGCAAATAAATGGACTTTACAATTAGCAATGGGCCGGGCCATAAAAATTGAGTTTTGACCGATTAACCTTATGGCGAACCAAATGTAACCAAAATAAACAAACTCATACCAAATTCCCGGTTATGTTTACACAGTCTTCCACTCTCGTCTCTGAGTTAATTTTTTTCCAGCAGAATCGGACTTCCGGCAGCAGGATTCTGAGTTTCTGACTGAGAGAGAGTGTTTAGTTTGTTTAAAAGATTAAATATTTTGTATAGTTAAAACAAAACGGTTTATTGAAAAACTATTTTTGATAAAAACTTTGAAAATTTAGTTTTAAGACAATCTATTTTATAACTAAAACCTTAGTTAAATCAAACGCAAAGAAAAAAAAAAAAAACAGAGAGACGGAATCAGAACGGTGGTGAGATATTTGATCGTGTGATCAAACATGAGTTACAGTTCTGACGGCTTTGGTACGGATGTTCATCGAGCTTGACGGTCTCCAGATCGGCGAGTCCTCTGTGTAAGACATTCACAGAGTTTGCTCAAGAAGAAACAGAGAGACTAAAAAGGAAAAGAAAAGAACAAAGGTGGATTGCGACTGCGACTGCGACTGCGACTGCAAAGAAGAAGAAACGCGCCCCTCTTTTTTTCTCTCCCAACTGCGACTGCGTACAACCTAATCCCATCGTCGATTTCGCCTCTCCGGCAACGGTTCCGTTTACCGGTTGCCGGAGAGGGCTTCTCTCTCCCCCTTTTCTCTCTGTTAGCCTTCTCCGTCTCGCTGTTGTTGTTCTGTTCGTGTCTTGTCCTTGGCTGGCTTTTCGTCTCTTGTTGGTGGTGAGGCGGCGAGTGGCTTTGTTCAAGGGACAGTGTGCCTGTTCTCCCGGTGTGCTCTTGATTTCAGCGCTTGAGGACGGTGTTGTTTCAGAGCTTCTTTTCCGGTGAGATTGGCTTCAGATCTGTCCTCGTGCGGAGTGTCTCTTGCCGGTTCTGGCTGTGGCTCCGGTGAGACGAATGGTGAAGCGGTGTAGCTCCTAGCGGCGGGACCATTCTCCCATCTGAGAAACCGGTGGTGCATCACCGTGTTCTTTAGAAGTCGTCGTTTCCTCTTGTGGGACGGGCTCTGCGACGGTTGCTCGGTGAGTCGGTTCTTCTCTTCTCGGGTCTCTCTGACCTTATTTTTCTCCAGCTCCGGTGGTGATGTTATTGGATCCTGGCAGGGCCGTGCAAACGTGAGGAGAAAAGAAACATTGGCTTGGGGCATATGATTTTGGAAAAAAATTAAGGGGCATATATTTGTTAGTGTCATGTAGTTTATGTTTAGTTAAATATATAAATATTAGTGTTATATAATGTTACAAACTCAAAATACAAAGAAAACTTAGTAAAATAATGGGCTTCTACATTCAAATTTCAAACATGGACTTCAAAATTATTAGTTAATTACCCCAATCAGATGTTGTTGGTCATGATCTTTTCTTTGAACTTAAAGTTCTAAAAAGTTAAAAGACCTATTGAGGTATTAGACTTTTTAAAAACAGTTGAAGATTGCTATCCAAACTCATGCATTGCTTATCGAATATTGTTGACGATTCCAATTTCGGTTGCATCTTCTGTGAGAAGTTTTTCAAAGCTGAAGTTGATCAAATCGTATCTTCGTTCGACTATATCGCAAGAAAGATTGAGTGACTTGGCTATTTTATCCATTGAAAGAGAATTGGTTAGAAACATTGATTTTGAAAGCTTTTTTTGAAAGCTTGGTTAACGATTTTGTGGAGAAAAAAGGAAAACAAATGTTTAAAGACTGATATTATGTTTGCTAGTTTGTTTTTTTTAATGTTTTTTTTATTATATGATGAATGATGATAGTTTAGTTTTGTAGACAATTTTTTTTTTTATAATTAAAGGCATTTTATTTTTATTCGCTTCTGATACTTGGTAAAGTTCGCACGGCTCTGGATCCTGCGGGCATCTCTTTTGGAGGCAAGCCTCGTGGTCATTTGTGGCTCGCTTGGTTTGTTCGTTGCGGTTAGAGACATTGTGGGTTATGTTGTTGGTGGTTAACGTGTCTCCTTCATTGGTGGGCTGTAGAGGGTGGCAGCTTCTCAGCCATGGTTATGGCTTCTCCGTGGCCATTTGTCTTTCTCTCTGATGCGTCGTCTCCGGTTGCTTTAAGGTGGAGTTTTGTTGTTGAAGGTGTCGTCGGTATCGGTTCTTTTTGTGTAGGTGAGCTTCTAGGTGCTTAGGCAAGGTTAGCCGAGTTTGAATAGAGGCGGCGAATAGGTCTAAGTGGCATCGCTAACACGTTGTGCTAGTGTAGAAGTCCATGGTTGCATGTGCGTTTTTGCGTTAGTTCTCGGAGAAGCTGTAGGCTTCTATCTCGAGGTTTTGAGGACGGGCCTCGGATAGTTTACCTCGTGGCAACTACGATGAGGATTCCAGTGCTTCGGTTATGTGGCAACCACGCAAATTTCCGAGTTTCGCGGACTCGGAATCGGTGTTTCATCTCGTAAATTGGCCTTGAACACTTAATAGCGATTTCCGAAGCAATTTGAGTAGTAATGTTGTATTTATTTTCTGTAGATTGTTTTAATCCGCTTCATGTAATCTTTGTAATTCTGTCAAAAATTAAAATAGTATAAAATTTAATCTTTTACCAAAAAAAAAAACAAAGGTGGATTTTTGTTTTCGAAGAAAGAGGGAGAATTATGATTTCTCAGATAAGACAATCTATAGCTGATTTCCGTTGCCACCAAAAAAAACATAAAAATTTACCATATATCTCGTTACCTTGACTTCCAAGCCATCTACACCAGAAGATAGAGACCACGAGTTTGCAGATCTAGATGTTGTGACATGGAGCTTTTTGATGGTTCCTCCATTAACGATCATGATGGTGAATGTAATTGCGATTGCCCTGGGGCTTGCGAGGACTCTGTACAGTCCGTTTCCACATTCAAGTAAAGCTTGTTGGAGGAGTGTTCTTCAGGTTTTGGGTGCTTACTCATCTTTATCCGTTTACTAAAGGATTGATTATGTTTGTGGTCAGGTTTGTTGTCGATTATTGTGTCTCTGATTTGGGTTTTTATTAACCCTCCTTCTGGTAAACGAGACTGGGGGTGTTCGTTTCTTACTCAGCTCAAGGAGCAACAGCGACAGAAAAATTAAAGGTGTAAATGCTTTCGTCCTTCACCATAACAGTTAAAATAGTATAGCTGTTTCAAAACTCTACTTCAAAAATCAAAACGGGCCGACCACTAAACTGAGCTGACACAGTCGCTGAAAATTTCAGCGTTCAATTTGAGCTGACACAAAAATCACAGTGCTCACCGTCGAGTTAGTCACTGGATTTATTATTTTCCATCATAATAGTGTATTTTGCTTGTCGATGTCGAGCGACTAAGAAACGAACACGCCCACTATACGCAGTTTCAGTTTCCTTGATTTAGGGTTTCTCTTTGTTTGTGATACAAGCCTTTTATGTACGAACTCAGAGCTACTTTCCATCTCCTTGTATCAGCTGATTCAGACAAGACGGATACTAAGTTGCAAGTTTGTAAGAAGAAGAGTAAAGGATTTCTTTCACTTTGCAGCTTGTATCAACTTATAGCAATTGAAACAGTCTTGTCAGTATCAGTGTTTTTAGATTATAATTTGTTTCATGGAAGTTTTTGTGAAAGATTTCTGTGGATGTGCATATATATGTGAATACTACTAAACTGAAAAAAGTACCAACTTAAAAGTCAAAACAAAATCTCCACAAATGGATCTGTTTTACAGTTATAATATTAGTAAAAAACCGAAAAAAAAAAAAAAAAACAGTAGCAGGATGAATTCAGAAGCAAAAACAACTTCAATCTCTCTCTGATCCGCTTGCTACTTCACTTCACTATTGACTGACTCTTAAGGAAGCTTCAATTTTTTTTTCTTTTGGACAGATTTGTTATTAGAGAAGTCTTGAGTTGTCAGAAAAACAATAACTGTTAGGAATGTTGTGAAGGGGTGGCAGGGAAGATGTCTGATGCAAACTGCTCGCATCATAGCTTGAAAACATATCTTGAGAGAAGCTAGTGTTACCGACCGTATTAAAATAAGGGTTCTGCTGGAAATCAGAAGAGAATTCATGTGGAATCTTGTTTGAGAGATTAGGATGTTGTAGATCGTTGTTGTTGTTGTTGTTGATGATTTCACTCAACATACATACGTTCCGATCAATACCATGAAGGTCCTGTTTCTGCATCGAGTGATTATTCAACCCGTAGTTATTCACCACAGATGCTTGTGCTGAAAGTAACGGTGAGTAGTCTTGTGTGTTTGACACGTAAGGACGTTGAAAGTTTGTGTTGGTGATGTTGCCCAAACACAAGTTCTGACCAAAACCATAAAGCTCCTGCTGCTGCATCAAGTGATTTTGGTAATTGGTGAGTTGGTCGGAGTGTGAAGCAGACAGTGGGAGTTGTGAGAGAGTAGCATCTCCATGGTTGTACATATACAGCGAGAACTTGCTAGGATTCAAGTGTTGGTTCTGGTTCAGATACGATGGTGTTAAATTCTGATCAACCAAGTTTATGTTCTGTTGTTTCTGCGCCTCAACAAAACGAAGCCTTTCTTGCAAAGTTGAGAGAGTCTGTTCTAAGGACTGATTCAATTGAGAGAGTTGGTGGGGAGAGTAATGATCAAAGTTCGGATACCAATCATGATACTTGACATTCTTCTTCTGCTTCTTCTTCAAATTTGTCTTCCCCTTGTCCTTGTCCTTGTCCTTGTCCTTCTCCTTGTCGAGGAACTCGTGAAGATTGAGGCTCTTCTTGCGTTTTCTTGCCTCTTTATACCTCAAAGCCATGTCTTTCACTGTCTCTCTCTCCTTAGGCCATGTTTTTAGTTCACCGCCTGGTCCATAATAGATGACACAAACCTCAATAGCACAGAGAATCGAAAGCTCCAAAGCTTTCTTGAAGATGGTTTTAAGTCTGTTTGTTAAACTTGTTGAATTACGAGACGAAGAAGAAGAAGAAGAAAAAGAAGCTTGCTTCATCGTGATTTTGCCTTGATTCGTCAAGAAACTAGGTTTTTTTTTCTCTCAAGACTACACGAAGAGGAAGAATTATGGAATTGAATGTGAAAGATGAAACATTGTGAACTCAATGTTATATAGATGCCTTGGTGCCTACGGGAACAAGCATACGCATCGTTGTTAATTACGACGTGTGAAGATCTGCTACGCGTCTACGATTCGATTCGATTTCCATTTTTTTTAGATTTCCTTAATTAATGTCTTGATGGTAGAGACTAAAAAGGGAAACTTTAAGGAGAAAAAAGGAAGATCTGTCTCTACGAAAAAACCCTTAAAGACAGAGAGAGGTTCCGAGAAATTGAAGAAAGAGGTCAACTCTGCATTTCTAGGTTTCTTCTATTTATTTATTTTTGTCATCAATAACTTCTTAAAAATACCCAAGAACATTTAAGTTCTTTAAATGGACGATAAACGACATATATGGATAAATGAACTTCAATTCTTTTACGTTAGTTTATTAATAAGTGTTTCCAAAATTTTAGAAAATGTGTCTCCAATCAGAATATTGTTATATATATAGTTTTGTACAAAAAGGAAATATCTAATAATTAAAATAATACTCCCTCTGTAGTTGTCGTTTAAGGTTTTTTCACACAAATTAAGAAAAAACATTTAATTTTTTGTTTTACCCTTTATTAATATATTTTATAAAAAATTTCATTGGCCAAAACATTAAAACAGTAGGGATAAAACTGGAATTTTCACCAAACATTTGCATTGAAAACCTAAAACGACAACTATTATGAAACAAAATTTAAATTCTAAAACGACAACTAAACTGAAACGGAGGGAGTATGTTCGAAGGGTATATACTCACTCTGTTCATTGCAAAATTACCACTGTAAACGCATCACAATTCGACAAATGTAGTATTATTAGTCGAGTGATTTTGGTAATTGGTGAGTTGATTGGAATGTGAAGCAGACAGTGGGATTTGTGAGAGAGTAGTATCTCCATGGTAAACGCATTATAATTATTAGTCAAGAAAATACACAATAATTGGGAATGTGGAAGTCGACAAAGCAGCTTGCCTTATTAGAGACACAACCATATATAATAGAGTACACAGTTAATGTCAGATCCAATAGTGATCCACAAATCACGAATTTTCAACTCACAACTAGCAATATTCGTTTCTTTGTTAGATGAAAAGTACCAATCATATAAAACGACATTGTGATTGGCAATCACATATAAATATAAATTGTTTATGTCTCATTAATTATATTACTTGATCTTGAATAGTAAAATATTAAGATTTGTCTTGCGATCAAGAAAGATAACATTCTTCTTTGTTGTGTATCTCTGAATGTACTTATTGGATTATGTTATACGTAGATTAATTTGTTGCTGAAGTATTCCACTAGATTCATTTCATACTCCAATTTTATTTATCTAATATTTGATTGCAGTCATATAAAAAAAACTACCTATAGATTGTTTTTCATCATTTAAAAGAGTTTCTAGCTGTAGCTACGGTTTGGAGCAAAAACCCGATGGTATTTCTTTTTCTTTTTTTTCCTTCTCCTGAGCCTGACAATGAAATTTGGAAAATTATGTTTTTTTCTCTTTTATTTGAACCCTTCTTAGGGCCTGACTGGTTTAAACGCAGCGGTTGCGGTTGCGGTTGCGGGAGTTTGCGGAAGCGGGCAGTTGCGGCTTCAAGCGTTATCAAGCGTTTTGAACGACTGGTTTAGCGTTTGAAAATGGGTGCGTTTACGGGAGTTTTATGACTGGTAAACCAGCGGGTGCGGTAGCAGTTAAATAAAAAAATGACCAAAATAAATAAAAAATATTACAAAAAAAAGAAATAAAAACACCAATATATTATTATGATAATATTAGAAAAATTGAACATGCTTAATAATTAAAACCATAAATAAAGTACTAAATAATTATTCAAATATAAATAAATTTTGTAACAAGATAGTACTTTATGCATCTGGTTTAACATCAAGTAATGGGACAAATTGTAAATAACGTTGAATTCAATCAAAAAGCAAGTGAGTTTCTATTCGAGAAAACAAATCGAAAGATATATTCAATCAAAAAGCAAAGCAATACGTAATGAAAAGAAAAAAACGATGCCATGAAAAATATTCAAAAAGTTACACATGAGGTGATGAATGAATAAAAGGATATATGATGCTTACGTTTGGTTATTGATTTTCATCAATTTGGATGGAAGACATTGAGAGAAATAGGGTTTTAGAATATTATTAGGGTTTCTGATGAGAACGTGATACAAAGATGAAAGATTTATATATGATTAATATATATTATAATAATTATAAGTAAACGTTTGATTTTTTTTTTTAAAAAATCCAACCGCTACCGCCCGCAACCGCAAACGCTTGCGGGAAGGAGCTTTTGAAATTCAGCGATTTCGAACGGTTCGAAGCGGTACGGAGCGGTTTCTATGATTGGTACCAACCGCTAACAACCGCAACCGACCGCTAGTAACCGCTAGGAGGGTGCTAGCGGGAGAAGTCCAATCAAGCTCTTAGTCAAACATGAGAGATTTGAGAAGAAAAGTAAGAGATTTCATGACGATATAAAGCGTAAAATCGGGTAAAAATAAAATAAATAGCTGATCTTAATATTAAGAATTTAGTTGCATTCGTTTCTTAATTGTATACGTGTGAACTGAGAACCACAAAATCAGCATTGAATTGAGGTTATTAATTAGTTAATGATTAATTACACGATGGAAAGGTCGTTTTTGCGTATATTTATAATCTCACATTATTCAATTTTTGTACTCTCTCTAACTAGGGATTCATTTCTTACATAAACGTCATGAAATTTTGATTATTAAAAAAATAATGAAATAAATAAAACCAACAAGACCCCATTATAAATATACGCATAAACATTACTTTGTGTATAGATAACATATAAACTAATTTCAAACAAACATAGCCATTAACCTCTCCATTTTTATGTGTTGTTGAAAGAAAGATAGTGGACATATGTTTTCGCATGTGGAAACATCATCCTTAAGCTACGAAATCTTGGATTACTTACAAAACTTCGTCGTTTCGAACTCTGAAAACGTGGCGTCACAACAAAATTCCCTTTCTTCCTCTTCTTATTCATCAGCGACACTCTCTTGCTCCATAACAGAGCAACAATCTCACTTAACGGAAAAGTTATCTCATGTGCGAGGACGATGTAGTTGCGGTGACGTACTGTCGCGGAAGAGGAGAAGGAGAAGTGAAAATACGATGGAAGATAAAGAGTACCAAAGGATGAATCACATTGCCGTCGAGCGTAACCGGAGAAAACAGATGAATCATTTTCTGTCTATCCTCAAATTTTTTATGCCTCTCTCTTATTCTCAACCTGTGAGTTTCTTTCTATCTATATATATATATATATATATTATTTACGTCAAATAGGTTATAAGCAAGGCTAAGCAAATGTTGATACGTTCAGTTAAAAATTAGTTTAGACAAAAAGAGTGTTAAGATTCCCCATTAAAGAGAAGCCGTTAACGGTGGTGATAAATAGTACACTACTTTTCGTTTTTTTTCCAAGTTTTCTCATTTTTTTTCTTTTTGACATGAAATTTTTTAGGTTTATGTTTTAAAAATATGATTCTGTTGTATATTGTTGATGTACTAAAAGTCTAAAACTATAACTTGTAAAAAGAAAACGTTATTAATCTATACTAAAATTAAGCTTTTAAGACTATTGTGCGTTGGGAGTTTTTTTTCAGCTAAAACATTTATTATGTTTTCTATCATTCATTTGAAATACAATTGTTAAACAATTACTAGTAATTTAGGATATTTGATTTTGAATCAATTACTACATAAAATTGCGGATTAATATTTTTTGGGTTTTCCGTTATTTTAATAGAATGACCAAGCATCAATCATAGAAGGGACCATTAACTATCTCAAGAAGCTAGAACATCGTCTTCAATCACTCGAAGCCCAATTAAAAGCTACCAAACCCAATAAATCACCCAACATATTTTCCGACTTCTTCATGTTCCCCCAATACTCCACCACCGCCTCCTCCTCCCCCTCAAGTCACTACCACCACAAGCGACTACCGGCGGTTGCTGACGTGGAGGTTACAATGGTAGAAAAACATATCAACATTAAAGTGTTAACAAAGACACGGCCAAGATTGCTCTTCAAGATTATCAATGAGTTTTACTCTTTAGGTTTAAGTACTCTTCATCTCAACCTCACAACTTCCAAAGACATGTATCTCTTCACGTTTAGCGTAAAGGTAATTTATTTTCTTCCTCTCTTGTTTTAGGGGGAAAATAGATCATTATGATAATATAATTTGTTAGTTAACATAAACTTATATTTAATAAGGCTCATTTAAAAAAAATCAACTATATGCTTAAATAATTGGTTTCTGGATTAGGTAGAGGCAGATTGTCAACTGATGCCTTCTGGTAATGAGATCGCAAATGCGGTGCATGAAGTCGTTAGAAGAGTTCACAAGGAAAGTTAAACTTTGTTTACATATTAGCTACCCTTGAAATTCTATTTTTATAAGTAATCTCTTGTACATATGTATACAAATTATTAACATCCGAATGCAACATTGTTTAACTTTTTTACCAAAAAAAAATAAAAGAAACATTATTTAACTTTTATTTTAGTATTTAGAATCTAAGACAGTGTCTATTATTATTTTCAGAAATATCCAAATATTTAATACAGTACATTATTATGCAATAGCTAATTTTAAGCACAATAAGGTTCGCACACGATGGGCCTTCTCATGCAAAAAATGGGCTTTTGAAACATAATCTCGTAATTAGACCAGTATAACCGGACGCGGATGCGATTCAATTTGGAAGAACCGGATCACGGTTCCTCGAGATGATTGAAATCTCTCGTACGAACGAGCCTCTTTCTACTTTCTACGATTAAACGCTGATATCGGTGACCGAAACATCTGAAGAAGCATGCCTTCATTGAGCCCGATAGTCCAATTTACAAATTTTCTTTAGTAACAAATTTATATTATTCGGATGACTAAATGTCATTTTGAAATAACAATCCAATAAGAAAACATGTAAAATGTAGCATAATAGTTTGTGGTAGTAATGTTGATGTGTGATCTTCTGGATTAATTCGACACATGTTGTTGACAATAGACATGTGATAAAGATATTTGGTAAATTTAAAAAAAGCAATGGATAAAGGTATTTGGTAATGTAACCTTTTTACCTGTTTAGTTATATATTTAAGGGAAATTGTTAAAAATACCCCTTTTGGTGTGTCTCTTTTCAAAAATGCATGTTTTAGATGTCTATTTTCAAAAATGCCCCTTTTTAAATCTGAAATTTTTATAAAGTTTTATTAGGTTTATAAGGTACTTATGGATTGTAACTACTACTTGAAGACTCGATCCAAGTATTTATAAGGTTTTATAAGGTGTTTTTAAAGGTTTTACAAGTTATTTTAAAGGATTTTTAAGGTTTTTCAAAGGTTTTACAAGATATTTTAAAGGTTTTTAAAAGTATTTAAAATGCATTTATAAGGTATTTATAAAGTATTTATAAGATTTTAGATACATAGAAATGTAGTTTGTGTATGTTTTAATAATATTACATATATATTTGGGTAAGTCTTATATTTTTAAGAGCATTTTTTATAAGGTTTTTAAAAAAGGGTATTTTTGAAAAGTGGCATTTTTCCAAAAGCCCTATATTTAAATAAATGTTTTATATGATGGGTGGTAAATTTCAGATTTTTGGTTTTTCTGAAATTATGTAATTAATCATTCATTCGTGTCGTGATCAATGTTTCTAGAAGACAAAAAAGAACATCAAGAATATAGTGGAATTAGTTGCTTTCATAGGACAACCAGCTCATCAACCAAACTCCAAATATATAATTCTCAATTTAAAAGAAACACCAAACCTATTTTAGTTTAGGTTTTTCTATTCTAAGATTTTAGATGGATACATACGAAATCATCATATCAGTTGTCACTAAACAAATGACTAATCTTACTATTATATACACATTTAACTAAAAGTCCCAACTCCAATTACCTTTTTTCTTTATAATCCCACCTTGCTTTTATGCTTTTTCTTTTGTCAATTATATATAATAAACTATTTTTTGTTATTTCTTAAAATAACTGTTAGATGTTTTCTCTGAGAAATGTATTGTTTGATTCAGAAACACTTGAAAAAGTTAAATAATTTTATGAAAAATAAAGTTAAATATATTTGTATAATTTTAAGTTTTTTTATTAAATGCAAAATAAAACAGTTTGTAAAAAGGTTAACATAAATATTTAAAATGTGAAAAGAAGATCAATTTACTTGTAGAATTACAAAATAATTGAACTTTTTTAGTTATGTCTTATATATATTGTCAATATATATTTATTAAAAAACACTACTGCCGGACTAAAATAATACATTTTGGAGTAAATGGGCAAGATCGTTACAGAGACAGACAGCTATCTCATCAAAGCTTTGTCTCCTTTCCCATTACCCGATTTTAAAAATATTTTGCAGCGTGTGAATATCCTTTGTACACCACATACTCTTTTCCTATATATAATATTAAATTGCGGAAATATATATATATATATATATATATAGATATTAAATTACTAAGATATATATACATGTTTGGGTACAACTGTTATATATATCATATGTATATATGTCACTGTGTCAGCACCTAACGAAGCGAACAAATATTATCGTAAATTACTACTTTCGTTTTCCATTAAGTATTGTTTATGATTGAATTTATGTTTAGGAATACTATCCTTTTATATTTTTAATACAAAATATTCGGTTTAACTTCAATTCTACATTAGTAATATAATTTTTAATAGTTAATCAAATTTCTTTTTAGAAATATAATATATTTGTAAGTTTGGTGTGGAATTTGTTGTATGATACTTATTCTAAAACAGAGAAAGTATATTTATATCCTATCGAGATAAATGCAATGGTTTTTTTAATTTTTTTATACATGTCATTTTATTTGGAAATTACTATTTTGATGTTATAATAAAAATTGTGAATATAAATAGTAACTTAATTAATTTTTAGGATATATTCTTTTTTTTTTTTTTCCATTTGAAAGTTCTAAAAAGGTCTCGCTAATTATAACTTTACGCATATGAATGCCACTATATTTTATATATGTAAGTAAATTGCGTCTGGAAGAAAAGAAAAATATGTATCAGGGACTTTCGTTTCTTATTCATAATGTAATAAGTTAATAAAATGCTGACCCAAATTGAAACTAATTTTAGAAAAATCTTTTGGGGTTAAAGCAAATCAATTTGCATGGCCAACTACTGGACCGACTACTATTGCAATTTTTTTTTGGTATAGTATTTCTTTGCGTGTATCTGCTATATATATATATCCCATGTCTATATTTATTGTATTAAAAACGAATGGTTGGTCCAGTGTATTAATAATACTGATTGATCATGACATTTTAATTGAAAATATCAACTCTAGTGTAGTCTTTAGAGAGTCCATTTGAATCCTACTTTAATCTCTAATTTACTGTTTTTAACCATGTCATCAACGAATCCAATAAGAAAAAACCGAAAAAATAACATACAAGAAGTGAAAACAAAGTAGTTAATGCATATTAGTTCAGAAGTTTTTTTACTGTTAATCCTATATTGGTATAGAATCAGGGTTTAACTTTAACTATTGAATAATTTCGCTAACTAATTAAGAGTATATATTATATATATTATAATATGATTTCTCAATTAAGTTGCATCAAAAGTTGATAATTTTATACAAAACTATATAAATATGATTTATCAAAAAAAAAAAAACTATATATAGGAAAAAGTAGAAGATACTAATGAATCTTTAAAATCGATGCCGGCTCCAGAGTAGCCGAGCTGAAAACCATGCGATGATTTAGATCCTAAACCAAACTCCCATGCGTAAACCGGTGTCTAAACTAACCATTTTGCATTTAATTATATATATATTTTTAAAAAATCTCCCGAAATTGTTGAAATAACTCAAGAGATATCTCCAACACTTCCTCTAGGGTTAACCTGTCGTCTTATTTAAAAGCCGGAGATGGAGTGAGAAACCATCTCTCTCCCTCTCCCTATCTATCTCTCTCTTACAAATTTCGATTTCTCGGGGGAAAAATATAAGACTTTTGAAATCTCTATCGCTAATACTTCCCGAGAAAACCTGATGAATTAAAAGTTCATATTTTTTCTTGGTGTTAGATGAATTAGTCAATTCTCTATTTCCATCTTATATGGATAGTGTAGACACAGAGCAAAGATCCTTCTTTGGAGAAAAACAAGATGAGAGACGAGAGAGGATCGTTTCTTCACGTATTGGTCGTAGGTAGATCTGAATCGATAACGATATAGCTAGGCCTTGATCTAACCATTATATATAAACTTCATTTCTTCTCAAGTAATTTTCAATCCCTATAGTTCCGACCAAACAAGATGAAGAGGTCACGTGGAAGCTCCGATTCTTTAGCCGGTTTCTTACCAATTCGCCATTCTACAACAGGTAAAAAGACTCTTGTAATATAAACTCTTATACAATTCTGAAAACTGCAACTATGTTTGTTGATGTTCATTAGAAAGATACTAATGAAATGTTTTATTATATGATTGTTTTATTAATTTAACATTTTAAGTAAAGATGTGTTTTTTTTTCCTGACAATTCATACTATCGAGACGTTATCCTGACAAAGTTTCGTGATTACCGTGACATCAGAACTATTCCACTACTTGATTGAAATTATCCGTTTACGAGATTCGTTAAATATATAGACTATACACTATATATAGTACTACTATTTTTAATGTACCACCTTGATTAATGGTTTTATCAGACAAACAAATAAGTCCAAGACCAACAACCACTGGCTTTCTCTATTCCGGCGCCGGAGACTACTCGCAGATGTTCGACGCATTAGAAGACGACGGAAGTCTAGAAGACATCGGCGGTGTTGGACACGCGTCTTCTACGGCGGCGGAGAAAAAACGGCGGTTGGGTGTAGAGCAAGTGAAAGCGTTAGAGAAGAATTTTGAGATTGATAACAAGTTAGAGCCAGAAAGGAAAGTGAAGCTGGCCCAAGAGCTTGGGTTGCAGCCGCGTCAAGTGGCGATCTGGTTTCAGAACCGCCGTGCTCGGTGGAAGACAAAACAGCTTGAACGTGATTATGGCGTTCTTAAGTCAAACTTTGATGCACTCAAACGCAGCCGCGACTCGCTTCAACGCGATAACGATTCCCTCCTTGGACAGGTATAGTCTTTGTGACATTTTTTCTTTTTGTTAATAAATTTGAACGTCTAGGCACACCCAAAAGAAACATGTTAGCCAGTTTTTTTAACTAAATCCATCAATAATTCGGTCAATCAAAGAAACAAAAGTTTTGATTGTTTGTGTGTGAATTGCCTTTAATTACGTTAATTTTCTTGTGCATTTTAAGATAATAGGTTTTCTTAATTACAAATGAAAAAACAAACACAATCACAACAGAAGAAAACTTTGAACATTAATAATATACTCAAGTTTTAAACAAATTCAGAGATAATCCATTATTTTGGTAAACTATAAAGATTA